AGTTTGAAAGAAATGTCCAAACATAATTCTGTATCATGTTCTTCAAGAGAATATGGCACTGATGGATCAACTTCTGTGAATGAGGACTTCCCATCAAATTTGGAGTTCAAAACCATCAGTGATTTGCAAGCTGTAAATGAAGTAAAAACTAACAATACTATGGACTTTGCTTCTATTGATTGTGTTTATCTCTAATTAAGATATATTCTCATTGTCTATTTTTTAATATGTAATTAAATTGTGTTGATCATTGATTTATTATTTGTCGTAGGAGTGTTCATGTGTTGTTTATGGCAACATATGCAACATTCAAACAAGTCAGAATTGGTACTACATGGCTTGCAACAAATGTTACCGTAAGGTTACCGAACAAGGAGGGAAGTGTTGGTGTAATTATTGTGATTGTCTTCCTAATGTTGTTCTCACTCGGTAATATAAAATGCAATAACTATTTTTCAACTTTGGATCATTAAGTGATGTTATGTAATATATCTTATTGTCGTTCCATTGATGACTTTTGTATTGACGAATAGCTTCAAAGTCCATGTCCGCGTTGAAGACAAAACCGGTTCTACGTCATTTGTTCTCTTTGATCCACAAGTTTCTCCAATTTTGGGAAAGAGTGCTGGAGATCTGAAAAATGCATTGGAAGCAGTAATAATTCATTCCTATCACTATACATAATGATATCATTAATATTTGTTCCTTTTTAATAATTTCTATTTACATTGATTCATTTTATTATTACTATTATTATTATAGGCTGGTGAGGGCGATTCATTTCCAAATGAGCTGGAAATATTGGTGATGAAAAGTTATCTTTTCAAAATAGACATAAAAAGGTTCAATCTAAACCAATCAAAAAGGGTTTATACAGTCGCCAAACTCACCGATGATGCAAGTATTATATCTAAGTGGTCCGATGTGATTTGTGAGGAAACGGTAAGCAATTTTTCATGTCAACGAACAATTCAATTTGTAATCGATTTTTTTTCAAATTCAAATTCATATGCTTATAATTATCTTACATTTTCTTAGAATACTCCTACTGCCAAAACTCTCATGGATGTAGTTGAGAATCAGAAAAATGTCGTTGACCTCGAATTGGTAAGGATTAATGTAAAAATATAATTATGAGTATATTTCTATCAAACTTTCAAATTATGAATATGACTTCAACTACAACCATATATTTGACAATTTGATGTTTTCTGTATAGAGTGTTGTGTCGTCTGTTGCTGACAGTGCAAAAATAGGTGAAGCTACTCCCTCTTCTAAGAAGCGTCTTTCTGAAGATATTAACCACGAGGATGGTGGTGATGGTGTGCCCCAATCCCAAGGTTCATGCAATGGAAAAAATGTGAAAGTGAAGATTTAAAAAATGCACGATTGAGATCTTTGTTCATTTCTAGTAAAATCGGCTTACTTTATTATAGCCGTAAACATTTTATATTATGATTACTTCTCTTTTGAAGAATAATGGGTTGCTTCGTAAACATTTTATATTATGTTTAGCTTCTTTTTTATATAGATTAATGCTTTGTTTGCTATGATCAATTTGACCTATATTGTTGGAGGTCATATTTATTATTTTATGTTTCATGCCTCTTCAATCATAATTATTACTTTGCATTTGCTAATTTTATAATAATTATGAATCTATTTTATTTCATTCGCTAGACTCCGTTGTAACTATTCGCATTATTCTTTAAGTAGAGAACGAAACCAGACAAGCAAAATGTTATAGATTCACCCGTGTACAATTACTACAGTAGTATGCCATGTGAACTAGGGCTGATGTTTTTTGGCCAAAAACTACAAAACGAACCGAACCATTGAGACAAAAAAAAAAA